CCAGCCCTTCTGGCTGGGGGACTCTTGAAGGTGAAGTCCACCCGGCTTCAAAATTTCAAGGTTGAGGAAACCTACTCTGGAGTACCCATCCCAGTCTTTCCTTTCCATTCTAGGGCTACTGAGCACACTTAGTTCTTTTTAAGAGGGATTATTTTGTCTTTTAGGTTTTTAAGATGATGGTAGTTTTGTTCTTCTTGATACCATGGAGTAACTTATTTTATTTATTTATTTATTTAACTTGTCCCTGCCCATCTCCCCACAACGGGGGGGCAACTTGCTGATGCTTCTTTCTTGTTGCACAGTGGCTTCAACTTGGCTACTATCAGAGGTGTTCACAACTGATTTCCTCACCTAGGTGAAATGCTAACGTCTCCCCTCCAGTTAGTTTCATTTACGAAGAGACATCACTTCTCCCTCATGCTGGAACAGCAATGCTTTATTGCTAGAAAAATGCCTTTCTTTTCCAGTCTGTACCCACGGGTTATAATGACGGACAATTCTGGGAACTGTAGTCTGACACATCAGGAGACCATCAGGCTAGGATGAATGCACTACTGCTTTTTAAAAGATCTTCTCATTCACCTGATTTTTAAAAAGTTTCTTGCTTACCATTTCATCAAACTATGCTTGACATTGTGAGGTTGTTAACAATAGCATGACTGTCCCTTTCCAGCACAGCGACTTCATCTCTATTACATGGGAACTAGATACTTGAATATTGGCACTAGATGAAGGCTTGAGAAACTATACAGAATGAATGGTTTAGGATTTTGTCGTCTTCTCTGACAATGAAATGCTAGAGAAATAAGTATATTTGGGGAAAAAATGCCTATTTAATAAAAATCTCAAGCAGAGCAAAGAGAACTTACTTTTTTTCCCTTTAGTAACCTCTGAACTATAAAAGAAGATGCCACAGTGGGTTACCTTGCCCCACTCCTAACTTGGCTCTGATTCCACTGCCTTCTGAAGCTACAAAATGAGGCCTTAATACTGATTTTCAGATAATATTTTAATCATCTGACTCCTTTTTTCTCCTCACATATATTATAAAGCACACTGTTAGATTAGAAATGGTTTTATAAGTGTATCTTTAGGAAGCAAATTACAGAATGACATGCAGCTAAATAATTAAGCCTCTATTTTTTAACATGGCTTTAAAAATAAGTCCTTAAAAACCAGTCCTTAAAGGTTAACAAATACTGGTGCCCACAAAATAAAAATGATTGGGCAGGGATTATACGTTAAAGAATGTGAATCTGAACCGTGAATTGTCTTGCAGTGGAAAGAATGAAGTGGCTTAAAAAGAGGAACAGTAATGAATTCATATTCATAACACTTAAGCAATTTTGCTAAATACAGAAGGTAATTCATTCCACTTAATGACAACCCAATGTCTGTTGCATGAATGATGTAATCAAATATACAAAACCTGAGCATTTCATCCCACTTCTGATCATATATATGTAATCTCTAAAAGTATCGTACTTTGGGGACATGCAGAGTAGAGTTTGGTTTTGCTTCTTAAAATCACACTGTCATACTTCCATTTTGCTCTTAATGTGCATCTGACAATAGGAATGATGTAATGCATGTGGCACATAAACACATTCAGCTATGATGCATTCTATATGCTAAAGTGTATGCCAACAGGCAGCAAGTTACAACACACTGTTGATTTTAACATCCACTTCGTTTATCAGAATTCAAAGTTCATTAAAACCTCAAAAAATAACAACAAAACCAAACCAAAAAACCAACCAACCAACCAACCAACCAACTCAAATAAGGTAGCCCAAAATGGATAAATTCCTAGATCACCTAAGATGATAATGCAGCCAATATGTTTTGCCAACTCAACCTGATACTCAGTTTGTACACATACCTCATTGATTTTCTGTTCTGTTTCCCCAGCAAAATCTGGTATTGGTCCAAAGGTTTTCAAGACATGGATAATACCTTCACGGTATCTATCACAATAGTTCAGCATTCCTGAAAGAGAACTGGAGACTGTTTAATGTTTCCCAGACAGAAAAAAGTCTACAAATACAATCACTGTTATATACCACCAAATTTGAGAGGAATATTTATCGACTGTCTAGAATTCGTTTTTTCTGTCTAGGGGTTCCAAACAGCTGTCTACTAATTCTTTTCAGAGAAGGAAGCTCCAAGAAAAACAATTCTATAACATCCCTTGAGAACTCCCTTCCTTTCAAGGATATTTTTTACATTTAACAAAAATCCTCTTCCTTGAGATTAATCCCAGCCATTCAAAAGTTCAGACTGTTTAATAGCACTCATATTTTTGGCCAGCACTAAGAGAAGCAGCTGGGAGTTCATGAGCAGAACAAGCAAACAAGACAGTAAGGGTTGTTTGGGTAATTGGATGATTTTTTCTCCCTTCTGGCTAAGAAACTATATGCTTATTTGAAGAATACAAGGTCTGGAGCAGGGACTTAAGCTGCAGGTAATTCACTGATCAAGACAACAGCTCAGTCCTAGCTAGCAGTATGAAAAAAAGCATTTGGGAGCTTGCAATCAGTGAGTGAACAGGAGGGCAAACAGGAAGAGGGAGTTAGAATAGAGGAAGGAATACACTGATCTCTCACCATCAGAGATAAAATATCAAGATCAGAAACTGGATGAAGAAACCAGAGTTCAAGGTTCTCAAAATGTAATAGCTACCTTCCAGTTCAAGCATTTCTTTAAAAAGAATAGGCAGTTACCAAGAATAAGTAGCATGTAGACAGAAAGCCAACAGGGATTGTTTTCTGGTTTATTACATAGTATTACATGTATGACTATTTGCCGATTGGCAGTACTTCCTGGGTAGCAGATACATTCCCTTGAAATCAAAGTGGCTGAACTGGAGATACTTAGGCAAACAGAGAGATATCTGGATGAGATCTTCCAAGATATGACAGCTTTTTCCTACTTCCAAGGTGACAAATTTCTTATTGTCAAGGAGAATGGGGATCTTGGGGAAGAAGAACATCAAGGACAAGGTATATGTTCCTATAGGAGGGATCCAGTCTTTGTTGATAAAGTCTTCTCATATTGAGGATATTCCTCCAGAGGACTGGGGGGCTTTTTATTGTAGTTTGATCATTAGAAGCACAGACAGACAGGTTTGTGGATCACATGGTGACTTGCCTGCCTGGTCCAAAGGTTGTAGACATCATGAGCCATATAGATCAGCTGCTAGACCGTGGTGTCAGGCAAAGCAGTTTAGAATTGTTAGGTGCTAGGAGTGTTTGGGGTAAGCCAAGCCTGTACAAGAGAAACAGGTTCTACTTGGAACCCAGCTGCTATGGCATAACACCAAAAAGCTGGCAAATCAAATTTTACATTGATTCCTGGGGGAGAGCTAACAAATGTTGTGTAGCATCCAATCCAAAAAAGTGTAGATATTTTAGGAAATACTAAAGGACCAATACAGGAAGAGGGGTAATGGATAGTCGTGTTAGGAAAGGTTCATGCCAACATTTAAAAAAGGACATGGCACACATGTATCTATGCTAATGTTAGAAATCTCCAACCAAAATTGCAGAAATAGAGTGTTTGGTTGGGAAGAGAACACAGGTATAGTAGATATAACAAAAACCTGGTGAAACAAAGAGAATCAGTGATCTATTTTCCTGAATACAAACCTGGAGGACAGGGAAAAGTGTTGCTCTTTTTATCAAGAAGGGTGTAAAATCTAATGTAGTTGAAAATAATAAGTTCAAGTCCCTCTACAGAATCACAATACAGGTAGTCCTCATGTAGCCACCACAATTGGGACTGGCAACTTGGTCATTAAGCAAACCGGTCACTAAGTGAAACCGCAACTGTGCCTATGATCTTACTTTAGCTTTCCTTTGCTTTACAGACCTGTGAAGGTCGTAAATATGAGGACTGGCCATAAAGTTACTTTTTCATCATTGTCGTAACTGCTACATGAGGCAGTTGTTAAATGAGGACTACCTGCAGATGCCAATATCTAGCCACAACTGTAAATAAGATCTATCAATATATTATTGCCCACCTGATCAAAATACAAGGCATGCAAAGGATAAGTTATTATAGGATTGGCTACCATAAGAAACAAAATGCTGGACAAAGATGTCCCTTGGCCTGATCCTGCAGGGCTGTTCTTAAATTTGGATTTAAGTCATTTATGGCAGGAGGGGAAAAGCCCATTCTCTTCACAATGCAATCTTAAACAAATCCCATCTACTTTAGAATCATATGAAATAGCAAATATTCTTTAATCAAAATGATTAATGAAGTTAAATAACATAATATTCCATTCTAACTATGGTGGCTACCTATCTTGGTCTGATATTTTTTACTGCTAATTGTATAAGAGTTCTTGTTCTTTCATTCTTAGAAAGATGACTTGCAGAATGGAATTCAGTAATTCTGCCAGTAAGGCAACATTTATTCAATGTGCCCATGATCAGATTTCAACTGGGACCTCAGTTCCATCCCATTCTTAATTTGGTTTTCAGAGATCCTCCAAATGTGCTGGAAATTCATAGCTATTGTTCAACATTTCTGAAAAGCATCCAGTTTGGGAAAGGCTGATGTATGTTACTGGTAAAAAATATTACGATAATAAACTGTTTGACTCAGGAAAACTTGATCCTAGTAATCAGAAATGTTTGAAACAAATGAACAACTATAAATAAATGCAATTATGCTACATCTGTTTAATACTAATATTTCCAAAATAATTGTTTTAAAGCACAGTTTAGATTATGGAGTAAAGACTGATGCTTGTATTCACAAGGGGTACAATGTAGGTCACAGAAATCAAGGAAAAATTTATTTAGTTTTATCCAGAATTGAAGGGAAAATTTAAAGAAACGTATAACAAGTAGAAAAATTGGTATCTAGCATTGCCGGCCAATACAATAAGTACAGAGTGTTTTCCTCTGGAGACAAGATTCTACTTTCCCCCCTTTCACTTCCTATTTTTCAGCTGCTTCCAGGAAGTTAGAATTACTTCAAACGTTACTTGCAGCTAATGCACATATGCATATTTGTCATTTAATTACAGCAATATCCGATTATGAACTTTGTGTAAGTGGTTGGCTGCAAAATCAGGAATCTATAGATGCCAAAGAGGAAGCTCTGGATGAATGGGTAGAAAATTGCTACTCCTAACCTCAAGGAGTATGCTCATAAGTCTGCAATCCTAGACTCGCTTATTACTAAGGCGGATATAAGTGTAATAGAGGTCACTCTGAGTAAACGTGAATAGATTATAAGCATCTATGCTTTATGTTAACCTAAACACTATACTATTCAATGAGCTGCTGTAATAAGGGGAACCATCAATTTGCTGATGATAATATCCTATTTCAAAATATCTCTGAGAGAGTAGCCAGAAAAGCATTTCAGTAACTGTTGCTTTTCAATTATAATAGTGCCTCTTTTTATATTCTGCAATTTTTTGCAGAAGCAAAAAGCTCCCAGATTTTTCTAAAGCAAGACTACACATTAATAGCAGAGCTGATGAAAAGTATCAATTGCTTCCAGTTCCACTCACAACCGTAATGACTTTTAATGAGAATTCCACAACAAATTCTAGCCATTATGAGCTTCACGGTATTTGTGAATGGCTATAGTTAAGTGATAGGATAAGAAACTTTTTAAAGCTGCTGTTACTTTTTACATTATAAAGATCACAGCTGCAATCTTTAAAAAAAAAAAAAGGCCAAAAAAAAAAAGAGTATTGTTGCTAATTTTTTTTAAAAAACTAGGTTATGCATTTTTACTGATATTTATTTCCTGCTGGTATGAAGTGCACTGAGATAAAAATGCTAATTCTGGTGGAGCTCTTTAAGAATCTGGCTGTTCAAAGCAAAATAGCCAAATTCCCAAAGTGATTTGGGAGGGTTGAAAACAAGCATGTAATCCTACCACCTATGTGGAACCTCAAAAGATTAGATCCACACATAGGAGGTACTTTGTTTCATGATGATACAGTAATAGGGTAACTGAGAAAATTCTTTTAGTAGCTCTGTACTGCCGATTTTTTTTCACTAAAAGGATCTGATACTTTTTTTTTCTAAGTACCATTCTGCCAAAATGTTAAAATTTCCAGCTCCAGGATAAAAACTCTCTGGACCCAAAATCAGCACTCACCACTATCATATTAATTCAGTTAGATGTCCTTACACTACCTTCTCTTGTTAAAAATGTTGTGGATTTCCTTTCTGCCTGTCATGTTTCTTTTGGTTCTCATGTTTCTTTTCTCTTTCTGTTCACAATGACTTGCTGTTGGCATTTGCTTTATCCCAAAGTTTCTGGCATACTGTTATATAGAGAGTTCTCTTCCCAGCTGTGAAAGCTGAAACTCTGCTCCTGTACATGTTTATTTTGAGGATCAGTGGGTCCGTGGGACTTACTCCCATCTAAAGCAGGATCCTCACAGCAGTGTTTCTCAATCTCAGCAATTTTAAGATGTGTGGACTTCAACTCTCAGAATTCCCCAGCCAGCATGCATCATAAAGTTGCTGAGCTTGAGTAACACTGACTTACAGCATCTTCCACAATTATTCAAATAACCTTGGGTTGGCACAACTCAGCAATGGCTGAGAGACACTAGAGGGCTTAAAGAATGACCTTGAAGGACAGTGGGACGATCCATTATCAAGACAATTATCAGACAAACATGCCTTAAGTCCATTCTAAGAATCTGACTTGAGAGAACATCTCAGATAGGCCCCTCTATGGCTGGCTGGGGAATTCTGGGAGTTGAAGTCCACATGTCTTAAATTGCTAAGATTAAGAACACTGCACTAGAGGAAGCTATAAATTATTAGTAAGGAAATGGCCTATATATATCTGAAATGGTAGCTTTAAGCAATATCCTTGGATAGAGCATGGGGATGCACACATTCTAATATTTAACCTAATAAAAGTTTAACTAAATATCCTATACACAAAGAGATTGGGGACACTCTGGGTGGAGAAATGTGAGGCTTTTGAATAGGGCTACAGATGTTATTTGTTTGCAAATGATTAAGCAAAATGTAGCAATGCCTCTTCTACGCATACATGTCTGTATAAATGTAAACACGTTTTGGTTTTTAATTCTCATCAGTCCCAGGCAACATGATCCAAAGCAGGACATCATGGGAGCTGTGTCAAAAATAACTGGAGGATACCAAAATGCTAACCCCTATTTTAAACTTTCAAACATTATATTATTTCTTCCAGAATAATGACACAACCTAGTAAATTCTTTTTTGCTGGTTGAAGATGGACCAAGATAATTGGCTCCAGAAAGCTTTAAAGATCCAGTGGACTAGAATGATATCTGTTTCTAGTTAAATCAATTGAAAAATCTGTATCTGCAGTTGGAAATGATATGGAATAGCCTACAACAGGCTTTCAAAATCCACAAAACTATAAACAGCTCATCAGATTCAAACAGGAACAATAGGTTTGCATGTTAGAAAGGGGAATGAGAGAGCAAAGCTTCCTTCTAAGCCACAACAACCAGTTGGAAGTTTATTATTTTTATTTATTTGATTTATATTTGACCTTTCTATTTAATGGGAAGGTCTTGGCAGCCTTCAATATACAAACACAAATAGAAAATAATAAACTAAAAACTATACAACTAAAATGTAACTAAAAATATAGTCACTAAGTTTAAATCATGGAAAAAATGTTTGAAATTAGTACTCTTGAAAAGATGTTGGTTCTCTGAACTGGAAAGGCAGCCACTCCTAAACCACCTTATAGTGAGGGATGGCCACAATTTTTAGCTAGCATAAAAGTTATAGTCATGCCAGAATAATAATGGTATGTTTAATCATGGTGCAATAGGTACATTTTTCATAAAATAGATCCAGTGGCCAGCCAACATAATTTATTATTGTATAATAGTGCTTTGAATAGAAATCTCCAGAACCTAATAATATTGAAAATTACATTCTAAAGATGAATAGGATTTCAGGTCTTGACTTTGTTGCAACAGTAATATAAATATATATAAACACTATATTCACAAAGATGTAATGTTGTAACTTCAGGAGATGGGCAAAATGATTACGCATATTAAATGCTATGATTTATGTACTTGCATCAGGTGCAATTCCAGCATTTGCATATTACCGCACGTGTCATCATGGTCATAACAGACATTGTTGATCAAGACCTATTTAGTTTAGAAATGTCTATATTTAAATATCACAACAGTTACAAACCTTCTGCATTTAGATGCATTGTTTCCAGAGGTCCAATAAAAGCATACCGCATTCCCAAGCCATCAGACATCACAAGGTCTAGATCATCTGGTGATATTACTCCATCCTGCACAGAAAAAAAATATTAATTATGAATGTTAAAGAACTGCTAAAATTCAAATTTACTCTATAATCCCTTTATGGATAGGAAATATTGGAAAACAAAAGGGTAAAATTCATTGTCGAACAAAAGTTGTTGATGCAGTGTATCAATCTGCACAGTGCTTTATGGAGTAATACGGTCTCGCAGGTTATTTCTGATGGCTGTGGAGGATAGTGCAAAGATGTCAATTTTATTTTTAAAAAAGATTTTTTTAAAAATTCAGAACTGCAAGGTTTTTCTTGCTATTTTAGATGTGTCAAGCTTATATGAAGGCATAGAGTACCTTATTTATTTAGCTGCCAATGGAAAACCATATGAAATTATACCTCTGATTTTGAGTGATTTATGCCTGGCAAGTGCAATGATCAGTGGCATGATCCAAAGGCGTCATTAGACAAGCTGAGTTCAACTTGAAGGAGACTTATTTTGGCAGGACAGTGATTGCTTTTCTCAAAAGGACTTAATAACCATAAAGTATTATGCAGCCTTCCTGAACTTGGTATAAAATTGCTTTCCAGATGATAGAAATCTTGGACATAATTAGGAATCTAGGTGCTTGTGATGATCCTAATTCAATTGATGTTATTAACGTTCAGTGGTGTCTGCAGGATCTGCAGCCTTGCGCTCAAACTCTGCCCTTCGTGCCCACCAGTGTGATGTTATGATGCATGTAGACAAGAGGGGCTTGTATCACAATGCTACACTGCAGTCTGACGACCACCAACCCTTCCCTCCCCTGATGTTGCCATCTTTGATCCAAATCTTGAAAAAATGACCCAGTTTAAGTAAGCCTACATCATTTCTGAGTAAATAATTGATATGTTGCCACTTCACTTTCATCATATAAAATGCCAGTTTCCATTACAGTATGATTTTGGAGGATTTCATTAACCTTTTCAGCTGGGGTGTGTGGTGTGTATGTGTATTATGCAGGGGTGGAAATGGACAAACATGGTAATTAAATACAGTCCAAGTAACTGCCATATACTTTATTACAAGTTGGTTGCATCATGGAAGCAATCTGCATGGCCTAAACATGCCCAGATTCTTATGTTTATTAAGAGGCAACTCCCAAATCTCCAATATAGCATGTTATGAGGTGCTGTTTGAAGCTCAGTTAACATCCAGAGGATATGTTTCCAAGCAAACCAGCACACCCAAAAAGCAGGACAGGACAAGTCCGTCAGTTCAGATTTATCTGCCTATTTCTTTAAAGCTCTTCCTAACAATATACTTTTAAAAGTATTGTTTTTACAACAGTCTCAGTTTAGAATATATATTCTTAGCTAAGAAAACCACATTACAACAAATTTTGTTTTATGTATTCAGATCAAAGATCAGATTATACAGGGAAATCACATTAAATATAAAAAGTACTATTAAAAATAATCAAAAGGAAGAACATCATACATCAGTAAGCAATAACATAAGCCTTGTATTCCAGATTTCATAGTCCAAACATTACAGGAAATTGATCACAAATTCATTCCAGAAACAATGGCATAAATAACCAATCATTCCTATCTATTCTCAGGATCATTTCATTAAAATGGGATTTAAGTAGCAAAATGTACGGTCAAAGGTAGTCCTTAGTAGTACAGGTGAAACTCGAAAAATTAGAATATCGTGCAAATGTTCATTTATGTCAGTATGGCAACTCAAA